TTAAAAGGAGTCTCACTTATACCAATGTAGGATTTTTCATTAGGAGATGAATCATGATTAATAGTGGTTACAGTTGCTTGATATATAATGTTGATTGATATATAATTTTGCTTGTTAAACATTTATTGAACAATGGGCAGAGATTTTTATTAAACCAGTTACAATTTTCTTGATTAGGGTTTGTATTGATGCATAAAATGTATTTGTTTTGCAAATTTATAATTGATTTTACACTTGACAACTGTAGCTAACTTTAACTGTGTTCCTTTTGAAAATTTGAGGCAGTTATTATTTGGAAAATGTTTATCAATTAATTTCAAAAAATATTTTCCCACATTGGTGCTAACGCTTTTTCTAAATGGAGGGTTAAAGCAAATGATGTTGCATACTCTGTTCCGTTTTTGAGTTGATATTACTTTAGGATTATATGTTAGACTACATTTATAACCAGATTGCTTTCCTGATTCATATAATTTGCAATCTTTTAAGTCGTCTGTCAAGCGTTATCTTGCTCTACAATCTTCATCTTTTCTCTTTCAGTAACTTCCAACACTAATTAGTGGTTTCTTGCAGCGTTGTTGGAAGCAAAGATGTTAAAACAAAAAAATAAAGATTTTAATAGCGCTTCATTATATTGAGGAATAGTATGTTGAAATATTTCTTTGATAGAAGAATTTGTAGACAATCTAAGTTCAAGCAAGTGTGGTATTTGTTTTAGTATACTTGGCGGTTGATTTAAATCAGCATAGATATAGTTTAATGATTATCGGGTTTGAAATAAGGTTTAAAAGTGCAGTCACTAAGATTTAGAGTAACGTCAAGGTAGTTGACAATTTTTATGTTGCATTGTATAGAAATCCATAACTGCATTTAAATATTTTGACAATATGTTTTTTTATTTTTTCCATTTGAGGGCCACTCTTATTACTAAAAACTGCCAACCCATCACCATGGTATAAACCAACATCAAACTTGTTATAAAATTTTGAAATTTTAAAAAGAAGAAATATTTCAACCAGCTCACAAACCTCTGCGCTGTCGAACGCTCCCATAAAAACATCAGAAAAACCACTTGATTGTTTTATCAAAACCTGATCATTATTGAATAGCAAAGACTTTCTTACATGAATAATTAATGATATATTCTCTTTATTTAGTGTTTGGTGTTACTCCATAAAAATTCACTAATTGAAGGGTAGAAGTCAATAATATCAAAAAATAAAAATATATAAAAAATATATATAAAATATATAAAAAAAATATAAGACACTTATCTTTATGGCCTTATCTTTTATGGCCTTAAACCAATCGATAACAAATTTTTTTGATTTAACACCCGCAAATGCTATTTCTTTACAAGTTTCGCTCTTTTTGGCTGAAAAGTTACATAACTTATTAAGTCTTACTGCAAACTCATATTAGATTAGATTTCTTAAATAGATTTCTTTTTAAAAACAAAAATTCAATACATTTAATTTTTTTTTTTTTTCAAGAATTTTTTTTTTATTACAACAAACTGGTACTAGAAATTTAAAAAACAAGAAAACTAGTATTACTGCTTGCTTGAATTTAATAAGTTTAAAATTTAATAATCAAATTTAAATGTTTGGATAAATGATAGTCACAGTAACATTTAATGACTATGAATACAAAAATAGTTATTGGTATTTTTCTTTGTAGCGATAACGTGCAATCGCTTGCGATTCTTTTATAATTAAACAATATTTGTTGTTGTTTTAGCTCAGACTTTGTAACTTTTTTTCTCTATGTGATTTATGTGTAAAGAAAATTAACATTAATTATAAAATTGAACTTGCAATAAATGTGAAATATAAAATTTATGAGCTTGTGTTTAATATATTCAAAACCTTTTTTATTTTTCTATTTTTAAAATATATCTTTTGATGGCACAATTTATTATATGATAGTGTAAGGGTTTGTCTGAAAAGGACATCAAGCAAAATTTAAATATTAATTAGAAGTAGAATATCATTGACACTTTTCCGCGGAGATGTTCATTAAACATAAATCGCTATATTACTTTGAAAATTGTCCTTTAATGCCAACCAGTAAAAAAGAAATATAAATTCAAAAGAATACTCTTAAAATGAAATGATTACAAATAAATCAAATATATTATTCTTAATAATAATTAATTAATATACACTGATTATTTTACAATATAAAAATATATAATTTTTAATATCTTTGGAAATCGGAGCTTAATTTCACTTGTCGTTGTGAAACTACTTTGAATTTTGTATTGATTTCATACTTATCTTCAATAAATGTTACAGATGGTAATTTATTTATTTTTGCCATCCAGTCAATGTATGCAGTGCTGATGTGGAATAAAAGAATAATAAATATAAGAAAAGGAACCCATGCATCCCTAGAACACATTTTAATCTCAGGGGAGGGCGCTGATGATTAGGAAATATTTAGACATATTCCTAATTTCATCAAAACGTTGTACTAAATTTATTCCCGGTTAACACCCTGAATAGTTATACAATAGTTATAATATGCGGTAGTGGTATAGTGGTAGAGCAAGAGGTTCCAAGTTTGATTCCCGAGTTCAATACCACGTCCCTGGTAGTACTGCGCTCAACTTGTTTCTCCACGCAGCGCTTTGTTCATTAAAGTTCGTGTTCAGAGTTATAGAGTTGAGAGAATGTTTAGAACCACAACTAAGTAGCCTCTTCGTCTGTAGTGGCCTTCTCAGCCTTGGGGAGGTGAATTAAAATTTAAATATCGAATCAAAGCAAAGCTTGATTTGCAATTCGAAGCAGGAATTGAATCAACATTTTGAGGAAATCTAAAAGTTTTTTTTTTAAATATTTATTTCAAAAAAAAATTTTATTAGGGACTAAGTCTTTACAGCTGTTTATTTTTTATTTTCATATTAAGCCTGTCAATTTTCTTGGAATGGGTTGAAGTTAGGGTTTTTTTTTGCCATTCCCCCCCCCCCCCTCCTGCATTTTACCATAAGCTTTTTTGAGTACCCTCTACCTCCCTAAAAGTACCAAGATTTTTCACCTACCAACCCAACATTTTATGATGTTTTTTTTTAATTTAGTGTCTCCATACTTTTATAATTGACCTACTGCCTCCATCTCTTATACACCATTTGCAGACCCCCTCTTCCTCTCCGAGCATATGTAATTTATGGATGATACATTATTTAAAGACACTCAAAACAAAGCCATTTGCGTTTTATTACCCTTAAATAGCTAAAAGTAAAATGTAAAAAAGAAATAAGACATCGTTACTTGAAAGGATAAGAAAAAGTTAAAATAAAATGTCTTTATTTTTTTGCGCCCAAATCAAAGTTTCAGCATTATTATTAGATAGAGAATGACGTGAATTGCTTATCACATATCCACCAGTTGAGTTGACTCGTTCAGAAGACAACTTGTTGCTTGTACAGCTAATACAGATTGTGCTGTGTGCAAAAGAACAGGGAAAATATGTTGAGGTAAGGAGCGTAACATTTTTTAAATTAAAGAGTGCATGTAGTTGTGAAAGTAACTCCTTTTTAAAGCTGCTCATAAAGCTACAACTTAATGAATTTAATTGAACTTTTAAAGTATAAATGCAAGGTTTAACTAAACTGATAGCCACAGTAGTATCAGAACTAAGTAGCTTTGTTGCATCTGAAATTGGTTTTAAAAATGGAATACACTTTTTTTGAAACATCTGGAACACTTACAACCTAACATTTCTGCAAGTACTGTTTTAAATTTACTTTCTAACATTGTTTTTAAGTCATTTATCTTACGTAAAAGCGTAGATGGATGGGGAGGTTTATAATTTTTTATTAGTACGAGTTGAACACAACTTTATAAAACCCTTACCTGCCGAAGTCTCAAAAGAACGTCCATCTGCAACAATAAATCCCAATACAGCTCATATATTTTCTTGTGTTCAATCGAGACAAATTCAATTTTCAAACAACTGCTCTCTAAAACATCTGGTTTTGACAATTTACACTTTTTTGTTCGCTCTGCTTCAGCTTGAGTATGAAGTGTTGGTATTTTCTTTTAAGTGACCCCAGAGATGTGATGTTGTGCCAGTGTTTTGTACACATAAAGTAGTTTTGCACGTTTTACATAAATAAAACTGATCTTTTAATTCAAAATACGACTTAATAACTCCTACCACTGTATTAAAGCTTCCAATACCGGACCAAAAAATAAATACCGGTTTTTCGGTATTAGATTTAGTGAAAACCAATATACCGGTATTGATACCGGTATTTACAAATACTTAAAAAAACATTTATTAAAACTTAAAGTAACAAATACACGGTACAAAAAAACTTTATTGTTCAAGTTAAAATAATATATAAAATTGTCCAATTCCCTAATTCCATTCTCTACCTCTACAAATCTTTTATTCATACCTGTATGGAATATTGCTGTATTTGTTTGGGTTGGTTTGTCTAATAATGCTGTTTCTCTTCTAGACAAGGTTCAAAAACGCATTGCTAACGTAGTTGGACTTGGTCTACCTGCTAAGCTTGAGCCTCTTTCCCATTGTTGTAAAGTTGCATCTCTTTCTCTTTTCTACAAATACTATCATGGTTGCTGCTCAAAGGAACTATCATCTCTAGTTCCATCTACTAAAACTCATTCTCGGTTAACTTATCATTCATCAAAGTCTTATTCTTTTACTGTATTTGTCCCTGCATGCTCCAAAAAATTTTATTCGTCTAGCTTTTTTCCCCGCACTTCAATCCTTTAAAACTCTCTTCCATATTCATGTTTACCTGAATCATACAACCCTCAATTTTTTAAGTCTTTGGTCAACCGTTTTTTTGCTCCATAACTCTTTTTTTTTTTTCTAGAAACTCCCAACTTAATATTGGTTTCTTGCAGTTGTTGGTCGATGGACATTAATCACCCTACTTTCTTCATTACCGAAGCACCATCCATCGTAATACATACGGTATCGCAATCAATTTTTAAGTTATGTTCTTTCAGTAAGTTGTCAATTAACTTAACACACATTTCTGCCGGGAAATGTCTATTAACTTGTGCTAAACCCAAACTTTAGCTAAAACATTCGGCAGTGTGTCTTTGTCTTTGCTTTTCGTAAAATAAGTCAAAGTTTTATTTCTGGTTCTAGCGATTTGCAAATCAGGTGTAGTGGAAACACCAGCAGTAGATGGAGAAACTTCAACTATATAATGATTCAAAAAATTTATTTGGCAAGAAGTCCTAATGTGTATGGAGTCACAGGTCTTGATTTCCCTAACAAACTTTTTTACATTTCGCTACAGCTTCAGACTAATCGCACAAAAAGTATTGCCACACAGAGTTTTTGTCCTTTTTTCAAAATCTTCAAATACTATTGTTGTATCATACAAATACTTTTGTTGTATCAGCCATGGCTAGGGCAGCATTTTTTTGAATACTAGAATTCGAAATATGATAAATAATGTTGAAATACAAAATATATAAATATCAAAAATATATATTAGATTAAGATCATATATGAACTTATATGAAAAAAACATAACAATATCTCTATATTAAATAGAGATGTTTTTTATCTTCACTTTGAATACATGTGTGTTAAATATTTATTCTTTTTAAATTAATTTTTTTGTCTTTATTTGTTGTTGTTATTTACAAATAAATATAAAACGAGCACAACAAAGTAAAACACAAACACTTTTGTTTTAGCACAACACAACAAAGTTACAAAAAACAAAGTGAAAAAAAAAATTTCTCTCCAAAAAATATCTAACTATTTAATTATAAAAATAATACTTTGTTTTGATAATTTGACCACAGTTTTTAACATATTTTGACATATATGAATATAAAAATATTCTGAAATAAATGGTTTTTAATTTCGTTAAAAAAAAATATCTTCAACACGTTTATCCTTACTACATTTTTATATTAGCAAAACGCTTTTAAATGAAGTAACTAATGATTTTAATTAAAGCATCAATGAAAGTTGCATAAATTTTTATTTTTATTATTAATTATATAAGATTTTTTTTTTAAATCTGTTTTAATAAAAAGAATTAAAAAAAAAATTTAATTTTATAAACAACTGTTTTAAAAAACAATTATCTCTTTAACTAACTTTATATAAGAATCATTAAAGTTAATATACTCAAAAAAGAAGAAAAGTTTTGTTGAGGAGAAAAAAAAGACAAACTTTTTTGAAAGTAATTTGAATTGAATAACTTTGATTTTTATTTAAGTTTTTATGATATTGAAACGTATTTAAATAAAGTAATAAATTACTACTAATAACTTTTTATATTAAGTGTTAAAGAATGTCATACATATCTTCTTATAGTTATTTTATATATATATATATTATATATACTTTTATATATAAACATATATATATATATATATATATATATATATATATATATATATATATATATATATATATATATATATATATATATATATATATATATATATATATATATATATATATATAAGGATTTAGGTTGGTTTATTTTCAAACTTGTACTAATATATTTTGCACACTTTGATCTTCATAAGTTTAAACAGTTTGGAATCCAGAATGTTTTTATTACCTTTAGAGATATTAATAATATTTAACATTCAAAAATTAAATTTTAAATTTTTAAAAAACATTAATTTTGTATATTAAAATATATTAGAAGTACTAATTAATGTTTAAAATGAAATATGTTTTTAAAATATAATTTCAAGTCAGAATAATTTCACTATGATGTTATTATTTTAAGAACTACAATATAAAAACATATTCCTTACATAAAAGCTTGCATTTATGTAAGGAATTTTTTGTATAACATTATATATTGCATTTATGTATAACCATATTGCTTACATTATCTAAAGATTTGTCAGCAACTTTAACTAGATGATGCAGATACTTAGCACGAGTTGTTTTGCGGACAAGTATCAAATCAATATAGCCATCACCCAGATGAGCATGAGGTGATATTCCTGTTGATGAACGAGAACACCGACATGATATATTCGCTCCAATAACACTAATAAACTTTCCACTTACTGTTTGCCAAAATGCTGAAAAAAAACTTTACAAATAAAAAACTAAAACATTGAAACATATCATTTTAAACTACACACTTATATATATACAAATATATATCAGAGGTGCACTCTCTGATATATATTTGTCTGGTGGTACGGAACAACTCGTTATCTCCAAGGGCAACTGAATTTAAAAAAATGCCTTTCAGTAGCCCAGCAGGACAACCAGACTGTTACTTACAAAAGTGTGTTTATTATTAAGAACCATATTTTGAACTATGAAGATTTTATTCCTTACCATTATTCAAAAAAAACTTTAAAAAGTATTTAAAGTAGTACTACACTTCGTTTAATAATAAGTACACTGTGGTGCAATTTATAATTTTACTAAACTTAATAAAAAGTAGCAGACATACGATTTACTATTTCAAAATGCGACTACTGTTTTTTAAAAAGCTGTTTTTGCATTTTGAAGCACGTTTCTTTTCAATTTTAAAATTACATTTTCTTTTTATTCCAAATGCTAATGTATCTTTTTATAAACGCTATAGTCCCATTTTGAATCATATGAATAGGCAGTTGAATCATTAATAACACTGAATCTCTATTATTTTTCATTAATAAAATTTTTGTTTTAACTTTGTCAAACAAAATTAACAAAGTAAAAAACATTATTAAGATACACATGAATGCATTTAATGATGCATGTACTTTTTTTTAATTCGCTTATCCTAAAAAAAGAAATCTTGGTATAATAAAAAATGTTGCGATGTCAAAAATAGAGATTTTGCTTGATTGAAAAAAATAGTGATTTTGCTTGGCTGAAGCACTGAATAATCAGCTGCTGAATATTTGGTGACACTTTGTTAATTTTGAAGATTTCAATCTGCTTCTTTGAAGAGGATGTGTTAACTAGTCTGTATGTGTTTATGCTTCATTTGTTACTAAGCCGTCTAGGCTGTGTCATAGCACAAATTATTTGTTGACTTTTACATCAAATTGTTTTAACTATAATGTTTAAAAGTATCATACTCTTCTAACGATTCAAAAAGATTACAAAAATAACCAGCTCAGGTGAATCTTGCATTTTTGAAGTAATTTTAGCAAATGCTATAGATAACAAAAAGAACTCTAAACTTTTTCAAAATGATATCTTGTCCAGGGCGACTACAACCAGAACTCTGAGAAAGATTAATTTAGTGAAGGGTTAATATTTCTCAGTGAAAAGAAAAGTTAGATTGCAAATTAAATTAGTTTTTACTGGTGGCAGTGTACATTAGGGCGATTCCTTTTTTACTATTTAAAATTGTATCGATGTGGAAAATTCTGTAACAAAAACTAAGAAAAATAGTGTAATTGTTTTTTAATTAAAAAAGTTAATTGATTAGAGCAAGGTATTTTAAATGTTTTTTTATAAAATAAAAAAATATTACAAGTTTAACTAATTATTTTATAGCGTGGCTATAAACATAATTAAATGGAACAATAAAACAATAAACTTCTATACAGATGATGTAATAAACAAACCACCATAATGGTAGTAATATTGTAAAGTATTTTAAAATATGTAACTGAATCTTGTTTTCAAATAGAAAATGAATAAATTGGGAAAAGTCCCATAAAAGTAGAATTTGCTGCACAAGTTCTCAGTTTGCAGGACCAAATGATTTTCCTGTTAGCAATCTTCCCACATTTTAAAAAAGTTTTGTGGGCTGAACATAAAAGATCAAAAGGATTGAACTTTGAGGAACCCCTGAGGTTACAGAATAAGAAGAGTGCTGTCCATCGAGTACAACTTTCATACTACAATTGGAAAGAAAAGATTCATTAATCTTATAGATGTTTCCAGATACACCATAAGAAGAAAGCTTATGGAGAAGACCAGCACTTCAGAAATGTCAAGAGCGATGGCCTTAACTTCTCCACCTTTATCTAATGCACAATAAAACCTATCAATTATTACTGTTAGCAAATCAGTTGTAGAACAAGAAGATTGAAATCCATATTGATGATCAGAAAGTAAGTTATTAGATTCAAGATGAGAGATTATGTGTTTGTTAATTAAAGATTATTTAAATCATTTTTGCAGACTGATTAGATGTGACATAAAAGATTGTTTAAAAAAGCATATAATGTAATTGTGATAAAGAAAAAAAGGTATTTAGCAACTAAATTTTAAGACTATAAAAATCGACTTTTTAAAAACATTTATTACAGCAAAAAATATTTTATTAGTAGTGTTTACTATTTACTTCATTTAGGTACCAGTGAATGAAAAGGAGTACCTAAAAGACCAAAGAGCTAAAAAGGGTGGGAAAAGGTCATTTCAGATAGGCAAAATTGATCAAAAAGAACTAATCAAATTAAAGAATAAACAAGTAATGGAACATTAACTGGAACATTAAATAAACAAGAGTCTTGTGGGGAAAGTCTTGAAAAATCAAATTTAGTGGTAAATAGGCATATGTAATTTTTTATTAGTGATTTGTAAGCACATTTAAATATTTAGAAAAAAGTGTTTTAAATTGGTGTAACCGGTGCTATTGGGCTAGCACAACTGATATCTGATATATATATATAACTGCAAGTATATTGTTTAAATCAAATATATTTAATTTTTGTTTAGTGTGATGATCGTTGTTCTGGTGATAATGATTGTGATGACAGTGAAAGTAACAATGATCCAGATTTTTATGAAGAGATGTCTAATTTATATAATTACAAATACTTGCCTAACTTAGAAAAACAGCAATACATTATGGAATCAGTAACAATGTTGCTGCTCATTTAGGTACAGGATTACGCATTGACAATGGAATAGTAACAGCTGCTGAAAGAACTAATATTATTACAGAAAAGTAAGTTTTTAGTGAGAAGTTTAGAATAGGAGAAAAACTTGACATTGACCATAGTAAAGAGGTTTTTTAATTAAAAGTTATCGGAGTTGATGATAAAAAAAGATAAAGAAAAGCTTGTTCACACAAAAAAAAGTTATCAGAGTTGATGATAAAAAAAGATAAAGAAAAGCTTGTTCACACAATTACTTACGATTTAGAAGAGGAACCAATTATAATACCTGGAAATGAAAAAGAAGCACATCTCGCGTTAACTGCAGAAAGTGGAACAAAGACGAAAGAGTTTCCAAAGCAAATGCAACTAAAGAAGTTTTAAATGAGTTTAACAGCATCAAAACTCTCGAAGCTGTGGTTCTTGACAAAACGAGTTCAAATACTTGTACAGACAATGGTCTCATTGTTTCTAATTTCTAAAAATTTATAAATAAAAAATTACATTTAGTTGGATGTCAACAACACCAAAATGAATTGTCATTAAAACAAGTAATTATTCTACTTGATGGAAACCCAAATGATCCAAAGAAATATAAAGGTCCAGTTTGTTCATCGGTTTTAGAAAATTCCATACATAAACTCCCTATAATAGTTTTTACTAAAATAATGTCCAAAGTTTAGTCATTTTTGGATTAGCGTATTGTTTCTGATTTAAGAAATGATCAAAGAAAATTATATGAATACACCGTTGATATATCTACAGTTTTCATAAAATATACAATGACAAAACCTGGACCCGTGAACCATGCAAGGTGGCTGACACTTGCATTACAGATTATGCATAAATATACTAGAGAAAAAAATCTATCAGCAGAGTTGGTTATGATAACAAAGTATATAGCCCAGGTATATTCTCCAATTTGGTTTGCTATAAAACGATCAGGTCATTATAAAGATTCAGCAGAAATTCTGTTAAATATGATTGAGTTAATTAAATTGCAAGATAAAAAGATACAAGAAGTCGTCTTTAAAAATTTAGCTGGAAATTCAATTTGCTGTTTACAGGAGAATTTTCTCTATTGCATGATAATGGACAATGAGAAAGTAAATTGCGACAAAACCATAGATTGAATACTCATTATTAGGAAACTAAATAAAAATAAAAAATTTGCTCCTTAAACTAAAACCCAAAACAATAATGAAAATTGATTTTGATTTTAACTGCTGGATTTAACTTGTTCAAATATGATAAATTGAAGTAGAACCTCCTACTACAATTTATTTTTCACCTGTTGAACTGATGAACCCAAGAGAATCTGCAGAGATTTTACCGCTTACATATCTTTCAAACAACTCTCAGTCATTTGAACATGCAGTTAAGTCAGTAACTGAAGCGTCAAAACTGGTTTATGGTCTCAAAAAAAACTTTATTATTACTAAAGATCAGAGTAGGAAAATTATAGAAATGTTTAAATGTAAAATTTTGTTCCAAACATTTAAAAAAAAACTGTTAAATATAACTCTTATGATATCAATTGTAATAAGAACAATTTATTTACTTGAACTTTATTTATATAAGTTTGCAAAGTTAAATTTATATTAGTTTCCCAAGGTTTAGGTATTACAAAATGAACTAATTCGTTTTATTTAAAGGAAAATAAAAAAGTTTCTTCAGATATTTATGAGTGGGGGCATCAATAGCCATCACGTCGCCTATGAAAAACCCTGATCGGCATCCCTATTATTTTAAATTTTTCTATATCAGTGAAGGAGCTTATTTTTTTAAGTAACATTTCTTTGAAACCCCTTGGATATCTGCTGCCTGTCATTCCACTAATCATGCCAATGATATTGATCATTATTATTTTTGTTCAACTTCTGTTTTGCTTTTATTATATTGTCTTAGATGCTTAAAAGTGTTAATTTATGACTAGCACATTCAGCACCCCTTACTACCTAAATATTACATAGGCGGTTAGCCGTAAAATATTTACAATAATTTTATTTGCTATTGATAGCAAATAACATTATTATAAGCCTTAAACATTAAATTTGAACCAGTTTTTGTAACATGTTTTATTCAACAAAAGTTTATGTATTTGCATAAAAATATCCATTTTTAAATGTTAAAGCCTGAATCAGTTTTATGTCTTTTTAAATTTTTTTTTTAAATGTGCTTAGTTTTATATATTAAATCTTCCATGCCCATACCAATTTTTGTTTTCGAAAAATTTTGCTCAGTGGAATTGCCCTAGTGTAAATAGTCATTCACATAATGAATGACTATTTTAGAGAGTATGTGTAATTTATGAGGAATAAGCAATTATTTGCTATCATCAAACAATGAAAATTTTTTTAAAATAACCTACCACCTTTTTGAAGTGATTTTAAGTGTCAAATATGCCAATTACTTTTTAAATAAAAAATTAAGAAAAAATAGTTATATGTAATCTATTTTTGTACGTTATTTTCTGTTACAATCTGGTATTTGATATTCTGCCAAATAATTTGCAACATTCAACCGAATACCGAATATTAAAAAAGTAGCTGAATAAGCCAATTAGGCCAAATACCAAATAGTCACTGAATATTCATGTTATCTTTAGAAAAACGTTCAAAAAATTTAAAACATGTTTTAAACATTCAAGTTAATTAAATTTGATTAAAGATTGAGAATAATAGAATAGTTTTCATTTTATAAAATGTTTCTTTGAGACTTTCAACTTTTTTGCTCCACATAATATAACTTTTGTTAAGATTGACAAAAAGAAATGACATGGAACAGATAACAACTACAACAAAAATGGCGATCTTTAAAAGTTGTATTTATAGTTATCTCTTTACCAAATTACTCTTTGTCACTGAAGTTGATCCTCATCAATCATCTTGAGATATATATGACTTGAGAAATGTATTTTTCATTGTGTAATAATATTTTCATAAATTTCTCTAATTTTATGAGTAATATTCCAGGTTACACCTACTTATACAACTTAAACTTAGCTTATATCAATGTGTATTATTTTATTTCAATGATTATAGATGGTTATTAGTACATAAATAAGTTTGCAAATATAAAAAATTGTAAATTCTTGTTTACTTGTTAATTGTTTTCGACATAAAAAACATTATTATTAAACATCTTATAAGATTTCAATTTTTATTATAATTAATTTACTTTTAATAATAAAACTTTTTCTTATCAGATGTATTTTATTAGTCAGACATTTAAACTTTTTTTCTTCAGTATTTTTACCCGAGAAAATTTACCAAAAAAAAATTATTACACCAGACAACAGTCAACAAATGTGTGCTGTTACACAGCCAAGACATATATTGACAAAAATACCCACACCGTAGAGATTTTTACCAGAACACCCACAACATATTGTGGGTATTCTGGCAAAAAACGTTAATTCAAAAATCCTTGTTAGGAGAAATCAATCATTTAATTTTTCTTAAATTTGAAATTTTTATAATCTTATTAAATTGTATTTGGTGTTAACATTTAAATACACCATAATGTTAAGTGTTAATATAAGAAAATAATTATAGCTTTTATTATTTTTATTTTTTAGCCTAAATAAAACACCCATTTTAAGAGTTAATGTCAAATGTAATTTTATAAACAGATAAAAAAACTTTTAAACAAAAACTTTTAAACGATTCTTTGTAAAAATAAGAAACAAAAAAAAAAGCAACTAAATCATACCATTGGAATGGGAAGATTTAATTTAACTTATTCATAATTTTAAGTAACTTTAAAAAAATAGTTTTAAACGTTTAAATTTATCATAAAAAATACGTGCCGACTGAAAAAAAATTTAAATATAAAATTTAATTTACAAAAAATCTGTTTATTTTAAACAATTATTGTTAATAATTTCTTATTATTTATTTTATTTTCTTGTTTTTTACTTTTGTATTTACAAACTGTTTTACAAATTGTTTTACAAACTGTTTTACAAAATCTGCTTATTTTAAACAATTATTGTTATTAATTTCTTATTATTTATTTTATTTTCTTGTTGTTTTTTTTGTTTTTATTGTTTTGTTTGTTTTTACAAAAATCTGTTTATTTTAAATAATTATTGTAATTAATTTCTTATTATTTATTTTATTTTCTTGTTTTATTTTTTAATTTTTGGCTTGATATTAGACTCAGTGAGGAAAGGCTTGTGATCTTTTTGGTTTCTTTTGGAAGTAAAAAAACTTTTAAACGATTAAAAAAAGTAAAAATTGCCTAATTTATTGATGATCCAAATGAACTTGTTACAAAATAAAAAAATTACAAAGTTCAAATATAAAAGAATAACTTTAAGCAAAATTTTTAAATATTTTTGTCACAGTAAATAAACACTTGAAGCTGTTAATTGACGCTGCTATAGTTTTTTTTCTTAATATATATATTTTTATGTGTGTAATAAACGCTTGACTAAAATTGGCAATGACTTTGCGTAACACCGTTGCATAAAATAAAAAGATCAACAATTAAAAGTTATTCATAACTTAATGATTTTTTTATTGCATTTTAAATTCTTAAAATATCAAAACAGCTGTGGTCAAATTGTAAAAAATTAAAAATTATTATCAGTTACAGTGTGCAATCACACACCATTCCTGCCCAAGCCTGTGGTTATATTTATACATATAATCAGTTTATTAAAATTGAAATATTTAGTACCTTCTTTGGATTCCAATTCTTCTTCATAAATGGTTGAACACTGTTCACATCTATCGTAAATAATTAATTTAAAAAACTAATCATAAATAAGTTTATGTGATATAACTCAAGAATTTTTTTTAATTTTTAAATAAAATTAAATTTTAAAATATTGTTAAAACAAAAAAATATAGTTTTTCATAATTTTTTGGATTTAAGTTAGCACAATACTAATATATCCTGCTTACTTTTATTTTTTAAATATGACCTAATCTATGCACAATCAAAAAAGAAGAAATGCTTTTTATTCAAATATGTTTTTCATACATAAATAGAGTCTGCCCAAAACCAAACTCTTTCTAAAAAAACATAACTTTAAGTTTTCAATTTGTCACAGACTGACAAATCTGAGTGACATGTGAGTTTAAAATTAATTTTTACCATTACTAATGAATTCAATGCACAATAATAATGAAAATTTAAATATGAATGAATAACATAAAAACCCATTCCCACCACCAAATTATTTTAATATATCTTTCACAAATATTAATGGTCTTCAAAGTAACATTCCATCAATTAAATCTTACCTCTTGCAAAATTCACCAGACTTGCTGCTCTTTGCGAGACTAATTTAAATTTGGCTGTTTCTTTTATAGATCTCAGTATTGAGTATGTACTACCCTTTGACTCGTAAAAACTCCAACAGTCACATGCTTGGCTTGTGGGTAAACTTATGCATCAATTGACTTATTTGTGGTGAAACCAGGTTTAAATCTTTTATCTATTCTTTTATTCTGTTTTATGTATGTTTTTGCTTAAAACCCTTGTCACTTTATCAACTTTCTTTTTGTTTTCCTTTTTTTCAAAACTCCATTGTTTTATATGTAATTTCTGATCAAATTGACCATGCCCTTTTTCTTTGCCCTACTCCCAATACTGTTGTTATTGGTGACTTTAATGCTCATCACACTAAATAGCTTGAATCTAACACTACTGACCCTGCTGGCACTAAAACCCATAAGTTCTACGTTACTCAATCTCTAACTTAGATAGTAAACTTGGTGACTCGTTTTCCAGACAATCCTAATCACTTACTTTTAACTCTCGATTTTTGTCTTGTCTCTGACCCTAGCTTGTGTCCAGCTTTGTCTTTTTCTTCCTTAGGTGGTTCTAACCATGCAATGATCTTTATAAACTTTTATCTAGTACTTTTTTGAATTCACCCAATCATTGCACTACTTACTACTACCCTAAAGTTGACTAGGACTCTTTTTGTGATTTTCTTTGTGACTGTTCTTGGGTTGATGTCTTTTCTCTCTCCGCTAATTAATGTACCTCCTACTTAACCTCCTGGATCCAGGGAGGTCTAGAAGTTTTTATTCCATCTCATCGGTTTAGATATAGCAGCCGCACAAGATGGTGTAGAGAACCATGGAGTAGAATGAAGCTTGACTTATAGCTTCATTCTATTCTTCACCATCTTGTTCAGCTGCTATATCTAATTGTAATCTTTTTTTTTTTTTAACCTTTTTCAAAAGAACAACATTCTTGAGAACAAACTTATAATTTATAAACAAACAAATTTATAATTGCAATAAATCAATGTAAAAAGATGTCTGATGCTCAGCTCCATTATTCCTAGTTTATCAAATCTCATACTTTATCTAAAAAGTAAGGCTCTTAAGACTTATGTTAATTATCTTCAACAAAACAATTAACAAAGGTAGGTCTTACATTTTATCTCTCACTTATGGTACTGATCTTATTACCACTCCCAAGTCAGGACTATTTGTTTAATAACTTTTCTTCTAATTTGACTTTTAAATCTTATAGCCATGCTTTTCCTTCTATTCCAGTTAATTCGGTTAACCCATTGTTAGACATTTAAATCACTTCAGCTTCCATTGTAAAAGTCATGTCTCAATTAAAATCTTCTATGGCTTGTTGTTCTGACAACATTCCTGTCATAGTCTTACAAAATTGTTCTCCAGAACTCTCTTCAATTCTCTCTGAAAAATTGAATAAGTGCTTGACTGAATCTTGTTTATCAGTCTGCTAAAAATGGCATTTGTGGTTCTAATTTTCAAAACCTCCAGAGAATACTCTGACACCTCTAACTACCATCCAATAAGTTTTCTTTCTGTTATTAGCAAGGTTTTTGAGTCTTTGATTTATAAATTTTTAACATTCTATCTTGCATCAAATAACTTACTGTCAAACAATCAATACAGTTTTCAATCCTCTCGCTCTATGACTGACTTGCTAACTGCTGTGACTGAAAGATTTTATTGTGCATTTAATGGATGCAGCTTGGGCTATTGCTCTTGACATATCTAAAGCTTTAATAAAGTTTAGCATGCTGGTCTTCTCCATAAGCTTGCTTCTTATAGTGTATCTGGTAAAGTTATTGAGATTATCAAATCATTTCTATTTAACTGCTTTATTGAAGTCATCCTCGAAGGCCAACACCCTTCTTCATTGTAAGAAATTTATAGGTTACCTCAAGGTTCTATCTTTGGTAATGTTTTGTTTCTTATCTACATTAATGATCTCCCTGACAACCTTACATATTAAGTGGCTTTTTTTGTTGATGACTCAACTTTATGATTCTGTAGTAATCTAAAGTCTTTTCTTTTCAATCACTTAGAACTATCTTAGAACCCCATCTATCTGAGAAAGATCAGATAAACTAACTTTTGTAACAGATTGGGGCTTGTAAGTTGGGCAGTAGCTTGTAAACTATAACTCCAACAAAACTATTGCAATGTTGCCAACATTCCTATATTGATGAATGGAAACCCTCTCACTAAATCCTTTTCTTTACAACTTCTTGTATTACTTTCACTATTGACCTCTCATGAAAACCGTACATACAACTGATTGCAAAGTCATATCTGCTATTTATTATTAGCTTTTCTGTCTTTGCTTCTCTTTATTGAGCTCCCCATTTATTTTACAGCTGATTCCATTCTCTACCTCTACTATTCTTTTATTCACCCCTGTATGGACTCTTTCCTTATTAAGCTGGCTAATCATTATACTTATTATCTATATGATACCCTTTATATATATATATATATATATATATATATATATATATATATATATATATATATATATATATATATATATATATATATATATATATATATATATATATATATATATATATATATGTATATATATATATATATATATATATATATATATATATATATATATATATATATTCTCATTGTCTATATGATTACTCTATTATCTATATACTCTTATCTTATTAAGCTGGTTTTTTAATGATGTTCTTTTTTTCTAGACAAGTTCCAAATACTTTGCTTTTGGATCTTTGTCTAGAAGTAAACTATGTTTAGTTCTTTTAGTTACGTTTCTTACTACTTAAGAAATTGTAAACGTAGTTGGCCTTATTCTATCTGCCAAGCTTTAGCTTTACTCCCACAGTCGCAAAGTTGCATCTCTTTTTCTTTTCTGCAAATTCTATCATGGTCACTGCTCAAAAGAGTTATCATTTCTAGTTCTATCATTTAAAACTAAAAAAAGTTTTAGTTCTATTAACTAAAACTAAAAAAAAATGATGAGAGTTTGTTTATTTTATTTATTTCTAATAAAGAAATGATTTAATGGCAAAATCTTTATTAGATGATTGGTATGTTTAGTTAAATAACTTGATAAATGATAAAAATTATAATTGAGTTATAGAATCACTAACATGTAAATTTTATGGACTTGTAACATTTTATAGATAAGTAAAATAATATGAATCAAAAAGTAACTAATGGTTTTGTTTTAAAATTTTATTGCCAGCTGTTAACTGGGAACTCATGTCACTTTTGGAATTGCTAGAAAGTGACTGACTGATCCTCTTCAAATATTTGATTACTTGCAAAGCATTCAACTATTAGTTTAATTTTTTTATCGTCATTCATGACACTACAGTTTTGGAATAACTGATGATGCTGCTTTTGATTGTAAACTTTATTGGAAAAGGAAAAACAATCCTTCTTTTTATGTGCTTAAAAGTAAAAACTAAAACACTTCAAAGTAAAAAAGGTCAGAATTTTCTTTCAAAAAAATTTTTTTCTTCTTATTTTAGTCTTTGTTTGTTAAGACGGATTAGACACAGTTTGCTGATGACTCAATTTTAGACTCCTGTCTAGACAAAAAAAGTCTTTTCTTTTCGATTGCTTAGAACAGGCAACCAATCTTGAATCTGATATCACTTTTGCAACAGATTGGGGCTTGCAGTGGCTCATGAATTTTAACTCTAATTTTGCTCAATTATTGCTTCCTATTGCATATCCGTGTAGATCATTTTATTTTATTTTTAATGGTTAATTAGGCTACACTATTTTCACTTACGTCCAGGTACAGAGGTAAGCTTGTCCAGGAACAGAAAAAGTAAACCTAATGCAAATAATCATGAAACATGAAAATAATCAATGCATTGGATAAAATTATGTTTACCAATCTTATGTTTACCAATTTTGACTTTAAGAAAAGTGTTTATCTAACAACAAAGTTAACTTTTGCACCGAAACTTATTTTACTGAATGACATAAAAAGCAACTCAGTGAACAAGGCTAACTGAATAGGTTAGGTTTCTGAACCAGCTTATTGTGTTGAAGTAATAATTCAACATAGGTTAGAATAAAAAACAACTAAAAGATAGTATACTTTATAAAAGAAATATTTTTATGAAGTTTAAAAGTTTTAAAATGATAATAATAAATAATAAATAATACTTTGCACAAATTAAGTTGTTTAAGATTTGTTTTGAAGCAATGATATATAAAAATGTTTTATATTTTTTGTATTATTTCACTTATTAAGCTTACTCAAAACTAGGTTTAAAAAAATTAAAATTAAAGCGGACATTTAAATTCTGATATATTGTCTCATTTACTAAACTATATACAACTTATGTTAGACTCAAAATTAGAACTTTGTACACCAGTTTGGAATCCACATATAAAAAATGAAATTAAAAAAATTCACAAAGTTACAAAGCTTGTACCAGGTCTCAAGCAAAAGTCTTATGAAAAAAATTTATCAAGCTTAGGGTTAGAAAGTCTTGAAACCAGAAGAATTAGAGGAGACCTCATTGGTAATTTAAAATAAAAACAAATTTAAACAAAGTAAACTGTTGTCATTCAAATTCAAAAACATTTTTTTTTAACTATAAAAGGTCCATCTTCAAATATCAGAGGAAAACTATACAGAGAGTTTACAAAACACAACAAGAAATTTTTTTTAGCAACCCAGTAATGCCATAATAAAACAACTCATCGAATAACTTAGTTATCCAAAAACATCTTGATGCAAAAACATCTTGATGCAAAAACAATTGATGAATTTTATTTATACATACATACATAGAAAAATTCTTTCAGCACACTTGAGCTTGAAGCAAAAAAAATAAAAAATAAAAAATTACAAACTCACCCAGCTGTGCACTTCAACTTTTTAGTGTGATCTAACTTTTGAATAAAACTGACTTCGCCATTATATGATCTATAAACAAATAGTGTTTATATTTAATAATTAAATAAAAAGTAAATAAAAGCCAAGTCAAGTTGAAAACTCATGATAAATGTATTATTTGTAAAGAATTATTAATGTGTTTATGTTATTAAGATGTTGCTATCCTCTTATTTTGATAATTTTGGCAATTATTTTTATAGTTTATTAATAATTATGGTTAAAAAACACACAGACTAAAAAAACTGAAAAAGTTAAAGAAAACTTTTTGGCTTTTCTTTCAGTCAAAGAAAGGTATACTGGCCGGTGAAGTGAAGATAAACTAAATAACATCATTGAGCAAAATCAAATTAAAACAAAGCTAGGATGTGTTGTCACTGATAATGCCTCGATATGAAACTGATAATGCACTGATATGAAAAAAGTTTTTAATGTGCTCAGTGAGTTACAGGTAAATGCAAGTGAAGGAGAACCTGAACATATTGTTATAGTTAATGAATAAGATATGTGAAATGATCTAAGAAGAACTAAATTAACTGAAAACAGCTAACAGTTTATTGCCAAATCAAGGTGGCAACACTTTTTTTGTCTAAAAATATTAGGATAATTTCAAAAATAAAGTGGCACTTAAAAATTTTCATTGTATTTAAAAACTCTAGGAATGCCTAGCTAAAATAATTAAGATAAAATGAGGGCCTAAACACATCTCTACACATACAAAAATATTAATTTGAAACAAATCATACTAAGTATGATTTGTTTCAAGTTAATATTTTTGTATGTGTAGAGATGTGTATTTTAATGATTTTTGCTGTGTATTTTAATGATTTTTGCTGTGTATTTAAATGATGAAATGAGCTGTGTATTTTAATGATTTATGATTATTTATTGTTTGTTACTTAGTCATAAAGTCATCTTTTTAGTGCAATGTTAAATTTGTTAAATTTCTAATGCAAGTAACTTGCATTAGAAATTTAACAAATTTAACATTGTGACTAAGTAACAAACAATAAATAATCAAAAATCATTAAAATACACAGCCAAACTAAACTTTATCTTTTATATTATCCAGCCATAAAAAGAAATAATCAAATCAGAAAAACAAAACGATTGAAAAACTTAAACATCCAAATCTAAATCTCAGCTTTCTTGTCAATAACTTTTTTAGCTGCTGTAATTTTTTCTAGTAAGTCCTGCTTTTCAGAGGCAACTCTCTTTAGTGCATTAGATTTTAGAATTGTTGACTTTATTTCTATCAATGATTTCTGCTTTTCCGCTTGCAATGCATACTCATCTGCATCATATCTGAGCTGAAGTATGGTAAATTCAAGTGTGTGAATTTATTCATTATAACTAGTAATCTCTTTATTAAAATTTTTCAGTTTAGTATCACGGTCAGTTTTTAAAGCATTCAAGGACTTCTTTTTTTGAGTGCTAAAGTATAGTTTTCGTGCATCCTTGATATGTTCCATAAGTTTAGTTGTCATAGACAATTGGGATGATTTTATATTTTCACTGCACATGTGGTCATGTACAATTCACTGTGCAACATTAGTATCAGTTAGAATATTATTATCCAGAAGTTGGTCGTTTATACTAAATCCACGCTCTACTTGTGCTTGGCCAGGGGACAATATTAGTAACAATTGGAAAATTTTCATTAAATCCTTGAATCTTGAAGCACCTGCATATTGAACCAAAAAAGAATCCAATCTATCACTTTCTTTTTTAAACCCAAGGAATTTTTCCTTGTTCACTTTCACAACAGTAGTTAAAATTGTGAATACTGTAATTTGGCTTGATCAGTAACTGAAGGTGATACCTTTTAATAAGTAACTAATTTCAGCAATAACTTGTTAAAATAAGCAATAACTTGTTAAAATAAAGTTCTCACATCTCATGAGATTCAACCATGTACAAAGGTGATAAACATAATAAGTATCTGGCAAAGTATGAGTTGAGAGCACTTTTTTCAACCATATGTTTGCACATTGTAACTAAAAACTGTTGAACTTCTGTTTTAAAATTATAGATTTGTGCATCAGTAACTTTTTTTCTAGATTTCAGTTGTTGCAACTCATATTTTATTTCAAACCCAAGATCAATATTTGCAACAAACACTTGATTTTTGACATCACTGATATCAACTTTTAATAATTTAAAAATTGTGGATGCTTCAGACAAAACTTCTTTTTTGATAAATTTTGATAAAAATAGCCTTAGTAAATTCTCAAGTGTTTCCACAAGAAAAGGTGTCAAAAGATTGTCGGTTTGGAAATCTAACAAAAAAGAATTTAACAGTTTTGCAGTTTCCTTAAAAAATTGCAACTTTATAGGGACTAACACATCTTTATAGCATGAAGAAATTTATTCATAACTAGTATTTTGCTCAGGCTTACATTGACCAGGTTGCTTGCTTTTTTATAAATTTTTCCAAAAGTCAATAATCACAATAATCTTGGGCCATATTTCCATAGCTCTCTTTGCTGCTTTCTCATTTTTAATCCAATGATGGCTACAGAACTGTAGAGCACAGTCTGAAGACTGAGCTTGAGTAAGATTTTTGAAATCAGCACAACGAGAAGGGCTCTCATGGATTATCTTATACAATGAAGACAGCAATTTGTTCAATTTCCATCCTGAAGCATTTGTACCATTCTTGAATGAACAGTGCATTGTGTGAAGGCCGCATGATCCAATTGATACTAAATGACTGGGTTCACATTCACTTCCTTAGCATTCAAATTAGAGAGGAAAGACATGTTAACATTTGGACCATACATGAAAACCTGGAGCATTTGATCTTCTTCTAAACCACTCATACATTTACGTAAATTTATCATATCAACAGCAGTAGCTTTTTCCAAAAATTCAGATTTGAAATATCTTGTTTTAACCATCTCTAATGAGGAGTCCCAATATCTAACATGAAAATCCATCTGATTCTTGGTTGTAAGATTTATCAAATTGGCAAACAAACTGATCAAGCTCTGATAATGTCTCACAAAATTTTCTTAAAATATGGCGCAATTCCAAAGCACACAAGATAAGTGCGCTTTGTTTTCCCACAAGAAAATTGTTTCGCTATTTGATTATCACTAAACATTGCAGTAAATAATTCAGATTTGTTTGCACTTGATCGAAAAAAATGTTTTGAAAACACAACATCAACTGCCCACATTATCTCTGCTTTCTTTGCTAACTGCGACTCTGCAATAAATATAATAGAAGCTTGCAGTGGACACAGTGTCACTTTTAAGCTAGTTGGTGGTTCTAAAACAGTTTTCAATGCATATTTATCACAGAAGGCAAACGTTGTTTGTGTTTGTTACCATCAGATGTTTTTCGAATGCCTTTGTATCCAGACCTGCGACAGAAATGACTTTCAAACATATCTTACATTTTACCGAATACAAATCGTTGGGACATTTTTATACCCATTGTTTATAATTATTGTCATTTAACCAATTTAGTTTTATATTTGACTGACATTTTCTATTCTGAACGTACAAAATTATTTTAGGTCAACTTAATTAAAATAAAGTTTTAATAAAAATAATTTTGATGTTTAGAACTTAGGCAAAAAAAAGAAAAAAAAGCTTAAATTTTATTAGAATAAAATTTTTAAATTATTAAAATATTACAAAAATATTAAATATACATTTGAGCAAATTATTTTCTGTCAGTAAACAACAGCACTAATCCCATATTTTCTGTCAGTAAACATCAGCACTAACCTCAAGTCTGATCCATTTCATTAACTTTATTGCTGATAATAGTTTATGCATTATACTCAGGACAAATAAATAAAGAGAATTTAGGAGTATTTGAGAAAATCACCTATACTTAAGGAGAAATTAGGTCTTTTTAGGATGTTTTTCAAATATTAGGATATTTTAGGATTTTATAGGAGGCGTGGCCACCCTGCAAATGCTTAAATCTGGCAAAATTAACACATTAAAGCGCCTTTTTTCTGTGGAAATTTTTAGTTGAAAAAAATGCACGATGCAAAAAATCATTGCTACAAAATAGAACAGCAGGTATGTTCAGCTGTCCAGTATTATCAAATAGGATCCTGAAAAATGTTGTATTTGCTTAAGAGAGGCCATAGTAATCTTATCTAGACACAACGTGAGATAACAATGCTGGGTGAACTAGTAAAATTACTTCAGCCTTTTGCAGAGGCCCCAAATTTGTTGCAGGGTGATCCTATAATAGGAAGTGTTGTGCTCTCAATTTATGGCCTGCATAAGTGTCTTATTACACTCAGTTTAACTGTCAAGTATCACACTTTACTGGTTAACGGTTTGTTAAATTTGTGTGACAGATTTTGTGGCTTAATGCAGAAGGTTAAGAATTTTCCAACAGGTAACATAGTCAAGGAAAACTCAAATTTTACTGCAATGCTTTACTTTATGGTCTTTTTACCTTATGCCTTAGATCCTAGTTATTCATTACTTTAGCTGGAGGAAGAACATCCTGAACCAGATGATGTCAAAAAGATTTTTTTATGAACACATGGCAAGTAAGGGGTCGTCCACATAATATGTCATATAACTTTTAATCATTTTATACCACTCCCCTCCTTGTCACAACATTGTAACACTTTGGTAACAAGTTCCATATGAGTTGTCACAACGCCACTTACCCCTCACCCTACCTTCTTAAGCGTGACATAATATATGGACGACCCTTAAGTAAAAAAAAAGTTTAGTTTAAATGTATTTTTTTTACTTTTTTTCTTTTTTTTACCTTTTGTATTTTGTTTGAACTATTAAGTTGTTGTTTCATTCATTATAGCCAAGTCACAAACCATAATTTCCACCAAGATTTATTGGCACCTATAACACAAGAAGATGAGATGCAAAAATAACTGGACCAATATGGTGATGGCGCTAATTAAAAAGGTGACTCTTTCAAGCAAGCGTAAATCATTGCGTTTTGCTTTATATGCAAAATGTTGTCAGAGAAGTGAACAGCAATAACATAATATTGTTATATTGTCACCAATCACTGTTGCTACTGCTTTTATG